GGGCAGGGGCGAGAAACGGGGGGGTATGGAGCCCAGGGCCAGGACCCTGCACCTGCTGGTCCTAGGCCAGTCCTGCCGTGGGGGGTTCTATGTTTCAGTTCTAGTGTTCTATGAATGGGGAGCCGACAGGGACCCGGAATAGGGGGTGCATGCAGGTTAAGGGGTGCATGGGGGGGGACACAGAGCATGGATGGGAGCTCATAGACTCATAGACTTTAAGGTCAGAAGGGACCATTATGATCATCTCGTCTGACCCCCTGCACAGTGCAGGCCACAGAATCTCACCCACCCCCTCCTAGAATAATCCTCTCACCTATAGCTCAGATATTGAAGCCTTCAAATACTTTGAAGACCACAAGATGCAGAGAATCGTAGAGCTTTGCAAGGATCCTGGGTGGATGCTTTTCGCTTGGCCTCGAGAGGCAGCCAAACATGCACCCAAATGGCTCCCGACTGCTGTGTCTACACTGCCACGGAATCCCTGGTGCAGACTCCGGTTTGAGCCCAAACCCCGCCGCCGTCTACACCCAAATCTCTCGGGCTCAGTCCCAGAGCCCCGCATGGGTGGGAAGCCTGAGCCCAGCCTGAATCCAGAGCGGGGGACTCCGAGTCCAGAGAGACTTTCCCAGAACGGTGCTGGTAACCTCTGGTCCTTCAGGGCCCGGGAGTGTGAGGACCTTAACGACCCATTTCCCCTCAACTCACGGCCCAACGCTCGGCCTGGCCCGTTGGAGACAGACCCAAGCTCACCGGGCCACCCAGCCTTTCTAAGGGGGTGACCCCATTGGAGGAAGGGAGATGCCACAAGCCAGTTACCCAAGCGCGTGACCCGGCCCTAAGAAACCAGGATCTGGGGTGAGTGGGAGGAAGTTAAGAGATCAGCTGTTGGGGTTACGGGGTCTGGTTGGGGCACCCCCATCTCTGCTGGCAGCTGCTCTCCCAGGAAAGAGCTGGTGTCTGCAGGGTCGGGGGTGTGATCCCAGCTGAGACTTTAATTGTTGCCCGATACTTTCACAAAAAAGTCCCAAACATGGTGGGGAAAAAATTGATTGAGCAAAAAAAAAAAGAGACCACACTTGTTGGCAACCCTACCGGCAGGGGAGAACAGATCTGTCATTCCCCAGGCAGGGCAGCTGGGGGGGTTCCCAGTGGGGTGACAGAGGCCTCTCCATGCTGATTTCAGTGCTGGGGGGGAGCAGGGGGGCTTGAGGGCATCCGGATTCTTGGCCCATTGAATGGGTCTTGCCTGGTGCAGATTCCTTCCTGGATGCTGTGGGACCCAGCTGTTTCAGGACAGAAGGGCCCATTCAGGTGTAACTGCCCAGGTGATGCAGGTGAGGGACGGGCTGCATCACAACATACACGCCCGGGGTTTAGTTCCCATCCCGGCTGGGCGAGGCCCCCGCTAACGGAGCCTGCTTCAGTCAATGGAATCCCCTGGGGAGGGTCGCTAGAGGCCACCCCCCTGAGGTTCTCCCCAGGGGGGAGAAAATTCTCTTAAATTGAGATCATCCTGTAAGAAGCTCTCCGATTTGATCTGTAAAGCTACTGGCTTGTCCCAGCTCACGTCTCTCCTCTGCCGCGCCAGAGACAGTAGGGAGACTAGGGACTGCAGCTTTGAAGCTGTGTGGCTTGCTCCTCTCCTTCCCCCCCACATGCACCTACCCCAGCTACAGATCATGCCCATCCCATTAGATTTCATGACTGGTACGGAAAAAGTGAATAAGGAAAAGTTATTTCATTGTTCCCACAATATAAGAACTAGGGGTCACCCAATGAAATGAATAGGCAGCAGGTTTAAAACAAAGCAAAGGAAGTTTTTCTTCACTCAGCGCACAGTCAACCTGTGGAACTCCTTGCCAGAGGATGTAATGAAGGCTAGGACTTTAACGGGGTTCAGAAAGGGGCTAGATAGGTTCATGGAGGTGAGGTCCATCAATGGCTGGTAATGGGTGACGGGAGGGATCACATGAGGATTACCTGTGGTGTTCCCTCCCTTTGGGGCATCTGGTGTTGGCCACTGTCAGCTGACCCAGTGGCCACCTTTGGTCTGACCCAGTCTGGCCATTCTTATGTTAAATCGTCTGTGATGGAGAATCCTCCATGACTAGATCCCTGCCAAATTCTTGGCTGTGAAAACGTGTCACAGACCCGTGAAAACGGATCCCCCATGAGATCTGGTCTTGTGTGTGCTTTTACCTTGTACAACGCCGATTTTCGTGGTGGAGACCAGCATTTCTCAAACTTGGGGTCCCACCCCAAGAGGGGGTCACGGGTGGGAGGTTGCCGCCGCTGCCTTCAAAGCTGGGTGGCTGGAATATGGCAACTGCTGGCCATGCGCCAGTGGTTTTCCAACTTTTTTTTTTTTTTCTCCTGACCCAGTTGAAGAAAATTATGAAATTGACCAAACCAGACTGTGAATTTGGTAGGGCTTTAATCTCGGCTCTTGGCAAACGAATCTAGTGGTTAATTACTCTCCCAGTTACACATTTGCACCTTGTCTCCAGGCTGAATGTGTCTAGATCTAGCTGCCAACCATTGGCTGGAGAGCCGGCTCGAAGATCCCTTTATGAAGTGTTTGTTCCCCGTGGAGATATTTATAGACGGATCAGTTCACCCCTTTGCTGCCTCTTTGTTGGGATAAATCAGGGGTGGGGAACCTAAGGCTGGCCTGGATCCAGCCCCCGAGGGCTCCCCGCCACACACACTCCTCCACAGCATGGGGGAGCCTCTGCTGCTCCAGCCCCACCGCACCCCCTCCCTGCAGATCCCCCCATGGAGATGGAGTACCAGCACCGACTCCCCACTGTGGGGGGAGGAACCGTGAGCCTTGCAGGCTGGAGTCAGGCATGCCAGACCCAGACTCAGACCCATGGTCCCTGCCTGGTGGGGGGCAGTTCTGTGCTCGCCCTCCCCTCGGCTGCTGCAGCAAGGTGCTGTCTAAAGGCTTTTCCCCGACAAAATCTGCTAGTCCCCTCGGCTCTGGTGTGCGAGGGGAATGTGGAGGGAGGGTCTTTCTGCTTCTCTCCAGGCTCCCAAGTGATTTTTCTGTGAGTCAACAGCCCCCCCCTCAATGTCCCCACCCCTGGGCTAAATAGATTGAGCTCCTTAAGTCTGTCCCAAGAAGATGGGTTTTCTAATCCTTTGCCCTCTCTCCAATTCATCCACACCCTCCTTGAATTCTAAGCTCCGGCACAGGACACCAGTACCCCAGCAGTGGACTCACAAGGGCTAAATAAAAAGTCACCTCTGCTCCGATGTCAAGGTTCCCCAGCTAAGGATCCCAGGATCGCACTGGCTGGGAGTTCATGTTCAGCTGAGCCTCCCCCCCCTGCATTTTTTTTCCAGAGTGCCTGATTCCTAAGGGTGCGTCTACACAGCGGGGCTTCATTCGAAATAAGCGACGCAAATTGAGCTACGCCAATTGCGTCGCGTATTTCGAAATCGGGAGCGTCTCCCCGGCACTTATTTCGAAACAGCACTCCTCCTCCGACTTCCCTCGTACAACAGCCCAGTGAGAAATCCTCCAGCTTGACAGGATTTTGACACTATTTTGAAATAACTGCCGGCTGCATAGCCGCAGAGTAAGGGTATGTCTACACTACAACGTTAATTCGAACTAACTTAGTTCGAATTAGTTAATTCGAACTAAGCTAATTCGAACTAACGGATCCAGACTAAAAAACTAGTTCGAATTAGCGTTTTGCTAATTCGAACTAGCATGTCCACATTAAGTGGTCCCTGAACAGGGCTCAAGGATGGCCGGAAGCAGTGCCGGCAGGGCATCAGAGGAGGACTTAGAGTGTGGAGATGCTGTCCCAGGCTAGCCGAGGGCTGTGCTTAAAGGGACCCGACCCCCACCCCGGTCAGACAGTTCTCAGGGATTCCCCACTCGCTTGTCTAACTCAATGAGGGACAGCAAAGCAGTCCTGGCTTGGAGGG